GTTAGGAAATAGGATTGTTAAACTAAACAAATAACAGAAGATCTCCCACCTCTGCTCCCACAGGTCAGATGGCCTCACACAGTCGAGATCGTGTATGTAAAGAACCAAGCACTAGGCCTGGCACAGAGGCAGGGAGCTCCACAAGTGGTATCTGGGGCTGGGGTCTGGCTCGGGCCCACCTCTCTAATCTCATCCCCTCTTCTTGCCTGTGGTCCTGTGTCATTCCCACCCCACAACCAGCTGCACGTTTTCTCAGCTCCTGGTCCCTGCAGCAGACACTGCCCAGCTCTCCCCCCTGGGCATAGAGCTAGACTGTCTTTCCAGTTGCCCCTGCAGTTAGACGTGGCCATTTCAACAGTTCTAGCCAATGCAATATGAACAAGAGTGACAGGTGCTGCTTCCAGGCCTGTCCCATGAAACCCGCACATGCTCTTCTCTGTGCTTTTTCTGCTTCCAAGAAGCATGGCAATCTAGGAAGCCCCAGATTAAAGATGGCAGATCCACAGATGGAAAGAACCCGGGTCCCTGACTTAAAGCATCATGGAGAGCCGTCCACTCAGTGAGAGTTGGATGTTCCATCAGTGAGAAATAAACTTCCATTGTGTTTAAGCTGTTATTAGTTCATTCATTCATTCATTCATAGTTTATTACAGCAGCTAACCTTCCCTTACTCAATACAGTCACACTGTCTCATATCCCTGGAACGCTTGTGACCCCACTTTGCTTCACCAGGTGACTCCTGCTTGTCCTTTAAGCCTGATCTCTGGCATCACATTCTCCAGAAATCCTTCTCTGAGCAACCACCCAACCCCTCGACCAAGCATTAGCAGCCTCCAGCGGATTCTGCACAGTTGACTGATCTCTATTCTTCCCTGCTTCCTAATAGAATCCCAGTTTTGTTAAGGGTGGAAAATGTACCCAGTTACAAATACAGTCGGCTCTCCATATGAGGGGTCCACATCCTCATTTTCAACCAACTACAGATTGAAAATATTTGAAAAAAAAGCCAATAAAAAATTACAACACACCAATGAAAAATTATACAAATAAAAAACAATACAGTAAACAACTATTTATATAGCATTTACATTGTATTAAGTATTATAAGTAATGTAGCAATGATTTAAAGTACATGGGAGGATGTACACTGGTTATATGTGAATACTGCACCATTTTATATCAGGGACTTGAGCAGCTGAGGATTTGGGTATCTGCAGGAGGGTCTGGAACCAATTACCCGCGGATACCAAGGGACGATTTTTTCCAAGACTTCTTTGTAGCTAAAAACAGTCATGTTGTATAGTCCTGGCCAATAAGATATAAGAGGAAGCAAAGCTTTTTAAAAAGGAATAGAAAAGCTCTTCTGTTAGGAAAGCTTTTTAACAAAGGAATAGATTGGGCTCATTTCTGTCTTTTTCCTTTTTTCCTTGTGCTTGCCCTCTTCCCACCTGGAACTCAGGTGCAACACCTGGGAATGCAGCACACCTATTACAACCATTCGGGTCAAAACCAAGTGCTAAGGCAGAGTAGAATGAGGTTCCAGGTTCCCAAAGGCACCGTGGAGCCCCACATCAGCCTGTACTGTCTACCTCTGACCTCCCGTTATGTGGAAAACATAAACTCCCAACCTTAAGCCCTGTAGCTGAGTTTCAACTTGGCACCACTGAAAGTGATCTTGCCAGGATTCCTCTGCAGCATGCTCCCGTGCTCCCGACTCTCGGCTCCCCTCCCCCGCTTCTATCAAAACACGCATCACACTCTGGCAGTCACCTGTTTAAGCGTCTGTTTCCCTGACGTGTTTGAAGGCACAGGGCGAGCACTCAGTAAACGTGTGCCGAGAGAACAGTGACAAGGGAGACTGTGTGCCTTCTTCATCCTGCACAGCAGAAAGGCCAGCGGCCTCCCGCCCCCATCTCATCAGCGGAGATGGGCTCCATGATCTCTGAAGCCTTTTCAAGCTCTCACGTTCTCTGATTCCCCCTCACATCCAGCACAATATCCACACCCAGGAGGACAGGAAGGTATACGACACAGCCTGTGCCTCACATCAGTGAGGTCAGGGAATGCTTGCAGGACAATGACGACGGGCACTGCATTTTTTTTAATCAAAGTGAAATTCATATTAAATTAACCATTTAAAAGTGAACAATCGGTGGTATTTAGTACATTCACAATGTTGTGAAACCACCACCTCTATGTAGTTCCAAAACATTTTCATCACCCCAAAGTAAAGCCTGGCACCCATTAAACACCCACTTCTCACTCTCCCTCCCCTCAGCCCCTGGAAGCCACCAATCTGCTTTCTGTCCCTATAAATTTACCTATGGATATTTCATACAAATGGAATTACGCCTGTTGGCTCTGGCTTCTTAATGTAATGTTTTCGAGGTTCCACCAGGTGGTAGCACGCTATCAGCACTTCGTTATTTTACGGCTGAGTAATATTCCATTGTATGCACATACGGCAATTTGTTTATCCATTCACTCTCCAATGGACCCAGGCATCGTTTTAAGCACTTGAAATTTATTAACCCATATAATCCTCACCTCAAAGACAGATGCAGTTCATGTCCCTAAATTTATAGAAGAGGAAACTGAGGCACAAGTAACATGCCTAAGATCACATAGCTATTAAGCAGAATAAGGATTCTAGCCCAGTCTAGTTCCAGAGGCCTTGCTTGCAACCGCTATACTCCTCAGCCTCTCAGAGAACCACCCCAAATAGCACAACGTGGAGCCTAAGCCACCTGGTGAAGCCTAAAGTGCTGTACATTTTAGAGAAGCAGCAGTCCCTGGGATACAGTCCTCAAGGAGGCTTCCTGGAGGAGTAAGACGATGCAAGGTCTAAATCAGGGCAGGCCAGGATGGTGTGACTAATCCACTCTGAACACAAGCATCCATGGGTGTTTAATAAAACCGGCTCGGGTGCTAGTGATGTCAGCCCAAGACTTCAGAGGGGAAGGTTCTTGTCTTTGCCTGCACAGCACAGGGCTCTCTGTGCAGAATTTTTTCAAAGGAGCCAGGCTTTTTTCAAATACATTAGAAAACTGAGCAAGAGAAGCTGGCTGTATCGTCTGTCTGGCTGCATCTGTCTGTCTATTTAAAGGGTGGGACATTGCCATACTCCTTTCTCCAGGCATCCTTGGAAGGCTTCTGTTGGGTAAATATAGGAAAAATGGTCAGGGCCCCTCAGATGTTCAGAATCCTGCCGAGCACTTGATGTAAACAGGCACATGCGCTCAGGTGTTCCTTGGTTATCGTCTAGTGTAAGTGCGCATGTGCACCCAGATGCCCTGGGTTATGGACTTAATTATAAGGATGAGTGGCTCTGCCCGGCCTGCGCCCCCATGGGGGAGGGTGGCCTGGGGAGGCCACGACTGCTGCTGGAGGCTGCTGCTGCTAGTGCCCCCGGGACCCTCTGCAAGGCCACTGCCACTGCCGGACCTGTAAGCTACCGGACCTGTAAGCTGCTGCCACTGAAGAAGCTGAGGACTGAGCTCATGTTATCTGCCACCAGCTCCTGGAATCTTTCCCAGTTACCTAGCATGGACCTGCATGTGACGGGTCTGGTGACCCAGTCTGTACCGTGGGTTTGGAGGGTCTGAGCCCTAGCTCTGACAATGTAAATGGAAACTTAGCATAACTAAAATGAAACATTTTGGCTTTAGTTATGACTTGACTTACTTTACAGCTTCCCAAGAAGCAAGGCGTCTTGGTGAAATGTAATGATAGTGAGGACAGTAGTTTCCAGGAGAGAGGAGTCAGTTCTAAAAAGTACTGTACAAGGGCCAGAGGCTGGGATAGGAAACAAGTTAAGTTCTCGGTCTCATTTCCAGTTTTCTTCATGTTGATCGGGGGCTGGGGATACTCTGCTTCCTCTCTTCACACCTGCGTGAGAAGTTCCTAAAGTCAGTGCTCATGGGTCATGGGAAATCCAGGAGGCTGGAAAATGTCAAGGGCTGCCTTTCTTCCCCGGACCCACTGAGACCCCAGCTGGCCAGTAAAGGTAGGTAGGGCTTTAGGGTCCACACATCCGAATGACATCCACCTTTTATGTGTCTGGGCTGAGGTCAAGGATCCCCACTGCAGCTCGCTCAGGTTAAGGGTGTTTGCAGTCCAGCTCCTAGGAAATCTCTAAAATGAGGTCTGGGATGAGCCTCTCGGTAGTAGAGTAGGTAGAGAACTTTTATTAAGTTAAGCGTAAACTGGAGAGTGAACCGGCCCGAGTCTGAGCCCGAGCGGAGGGCCGCGGGGGACACAGGCGGGGCGGCCGGGCGCCGGGAAGGTCGGATGCCCGCAGCACGGTGGCTTCCGCGCGTGCCCGCGGCCGGGCCAGCTCACGAGTGCGCGCGGGGGCGGCGCTAGGACCCT